ATACATACATACTCTAAATAAAATACATGTATATATATACATATATAATAAATACCCCGTAAAAACGTACAATGCTAATTATTTTATTATGTATGTGACTGAAAATATTTTAATTATCTGTGACAGATTTCAAGATATATTACGCGAAATTTCATCAACGATATTCCGCGTGCGGTCGCCGGTTGTTTAATTTACCATACACGGATGTGGTCTGCACTGCATCCGTGTTTCTCCATTCTTCTTTTTTCTATATTAAACCGACATGACCTTAAAACCTTTCCACCATTGTGATAACACAATCAGGATAAAGATCTCTTTATTTAGAAGTATTATTTTAAGATCCCTAGTCGCGTTTTATTAAACATACAAACCGATCAGCATCGCGCGAACTAAGAACGAGAGAACGAATAATCCCAAGGGGAATCATAAACTCACTCGAATAGTATGACGAAGAATGCACTGCGCTTTGTTATCGAGCAATGTTAATTATGGCCCGTGCAATTGGCACAAAGTTATAACTTCAATATGCAGCTTGAACCACATAACTCGATTGACTCGGATTATTTCCTTTGCCGTTGAGTGAGGTAATTTTTCATCACTATAAAATAATTTTCGGTCAGAAGGATTCTCTATAAATCAGTACATCTATTACTAGTCATACTTTTTTTTAAGTTATATGGTTCACTCTGTATGATATAAGCGCATCTAACGAACGAGGGCGATGTGGCGGATGATGATGACAGCAACGACTACTATCGATATAACGATGACGATGATTTAATGTACATCGGTTTACATGAACCATGACTTTTGTGCGCCACTGTGACCTGGTCGTTTAACCCGATTCAGGCACAAGTACCCGACTGTATAACGAATCCAGGCCTTCGACGAAGACAACTTGGTAGACAAAGATAACGATTACGATCGTTCCTAAATTTTTCGACACCGGGAAAGCTTTGTACACAATTCCTCGAAAATTCCTATTTCAAACTCGGATTATTTAAATATTAAATATTGAGATTGGTCGTGTAATTATTGACCGTCCCAAAATTATTGATGATTTGAGTTTGAGTTTCCGATTAAGAAATAATCTTCGTGCTTATTCATTTTTTTATGAAGCGACTACATGTATATAGTTTCTATTTTTTACTCAACGTAAAAAATTAAAATGAAATTTTTGTCCACTTTTAACCTAAAGATTAATATCAGATAATTTTATCAAATTTTCGATCACCAAAGTTTGCTTGAAGAACAAACTTTGTTTGGATAGTGAATGTATGATTCATACAACAAAAGAGATAATATATCATAATTTCTTTTATTAATTTTGACATTGATGAACCATTCAATTAAAAAAAAAAAAATAAATAAATAAATAAATAAACTGGGGACACTACAAAACGCAAAAAATTGAGGAATTTATTGGATATATTAAATATTAAAAAGAATTTTATGTATAATCGTAATCGCGGAGTTACATCATAGCTTATCACGACTGAATCACGATTTTCAATGTGATTTTATTAAGATAATTAATTCATATTAATTATACACGATAAGATTAATCTGCAAATTCTAATACTGGAACTGATAAACATGTTGATGTGATGTTACCAAGATCATCATTTATTAACGATTTATTGATATACGATTATTGTAAAACCAGCACTATTCACATATTGTATACAAAAATATAATTTATGGAAATATATTTTAATTAAAAGAGAGAGAAAGAGAGAGAGAAATCGTTGAGTGGTTAATATTCAGTTTGTAATATTTTATGTATGTTCCTGATTTTTCAAAATGCAAAAATAAAACATGGCTGATTGCCTGTTGATAGTCGCTAATGATTTTATGCCAATAATTTTCTGAAATGTCACGTTACGACAGCATCGTCATGCACATTTACATTCTTGAACATTTCAGCGAACCGAATTGCACTTATTGCTACGGTCTAACAATAGCCCGAATAATGACACATCCATTAACAAAAATATTCAGCTTCTCAAATTATATTTTAAAATATTTCTCTCTCTCTCTCTCTCTTTTATATCATACACGAAATTGAGAGATATTTTCTTTATTTTTTACGCGACAATTATAGCATTCGAAAAAATTCGTAATAAAAATTAAATTAGATTTTCGTATGAGAAATGAAATACTTTTTCGTGCACTTTTATCATCTGACCAAAACTGTAAAAACATCTCGCATGGACGGACTTGACATTTTGCTCCCTCGACATATTTACGTAAAGATAGTTACGAAATGGAGCGTACAAAATCGCCTGACTCAACGCGATAAGATCTTTTTCGAACTTCATTCCTCTCTCTCTCTCTCTCTCTCTTCTTCGTATAAAATAAAATATTATATATTTATTAAACTCGGCATAAATGTTTGCAAAGTTCAACAACGATCAATAAAAGTTAATACGTATATAAAAACATTATTTCTTAATAAGCATCATTGAAGTTTTCGGCAAGTATAAAATGTCTGACAAAGATAAGCGTAAAGATCGATGATATCGATACACTATAAATTGACGAAACAACAAATATTGAGCAACGAAAGTATATATCTTCGATATTACGGTAGTTTTATTAACTCGGGAGCAAACGGGGGCCAAAGTTTGTCTTATTATATTATGGTATTAAAGACAAACGGTCGATTTGTATAGACGCGCACATGATTCATAAGATCCCGAACATGACAACTGTGATCGACGCATAACAATCTTTTGTTCATTAATATCCGAATTGTTTTAAAAGCAGAAATCCAAAAAAAGATATTACAACTTAATTAATCCGCTATAAAATATCGTGAAAAGTAGAAGAACTTGACTTGTCAATATATTTACAAGAAGGTTATAGAAATATCTTTTGCGTACATATTATTTTTGAACCTTAAAAAACAATCGTAAAAAAACTAGTTAGTTTTTTTTATTATTTTTTTACGTAAATATCTTTCCTTCTTCGGGTCAGTGAATTGGATTAGCATAACAGGCGAGACGAGAGAGATGTATTATCACGGACGAGAAACGAATGTCCTGCGGATCAAAAAGCGATCGAAGGTGGCGGCTCGTCTTTGAACGTCACAAAACGACACGCACTCGAGTGACTCAGGAGACATGTGACGCAGCGAACAAGTGTTTAAATAGAAATAATGGCGCGACCCTGACGAGATCGAGCCGATAAAATTCAACTACTCGAAGGAATGGCCAAAGTGACCGTTATAGGTGCTAGCGATGCACTTGTACTTGCACGTAGCATATATAATAAAATCGCTGTTACCATTGTTTTAACAAAATATCGAAAATTTCGACAAAATTGTCTATTTATCCGAGAGTGAAAATAAATAAAGCAGTTTGTACGGAAAAAAAAGAGTATTACGCTTAAATAAAATATAGATAAATATCAACTACGTTTTCTCCTATACGCAAATATTTTGCACGAACATTTATGTAACATGTGTGTGATAACTTGCTGCGTTAAGTAAATAAGTAAATATTTTGTAATTTACGTAATATCAAATATTCTTTTTGGATAATTAAATTATTATATCTTATTATATCTTATAATCAGCAACATCAAACACGTGCTATCTTATTATCTCTAGAAATGCGGTTTATTATCTTTATTAATAATTATCATGTGGTTTTGATATGATCGATAGTCGGAAGATATTCGGTAATTATTCCCTACAAACCGCAACTAAACGCAGTTGATTATCATAAATTGCCATCATTACGCTACAGCATCACAAAAAATATTCAACAAATCATGTTAAAATTATCTGGAGATATGATCGTATCTCGCGCCAATAATATCAAATTATAATAATCGTAAATTATATGGAACATAAAGATTTTCGGGTTTAAATAAATAGGAAATATAATAGAAATATAATAGAAATATAATAGAATATTAAAAAAAAAATTAAGTTTTATATCATCTTTAAAATTAATCTGGGAGAGAGAGCGCGTATTTTATATTCAGAGATTTAAAAAGTTTACTGCAATTAACATTTTTTCTAAATTATATATATATATATATATATATAATGGTTAATTAAAATGGCAAACAAATAAATAAATAACTAAAAATTAGTTATGAAGATTTCCCAAATCGTCTTTAAACTAGACCGATATTATACTTCAAAATAGCCGAAGAAGACGGTACACATATGACATGCAACGAACTGACCGTTATCATCTTTTGTGAATATAGAGCAGTTGAATTATCCAAGCATATTGAAAACGCGTTTCTCTTAATCCAAAATTATGATCCGAAGTATCTACGAGAATCTCAAGTAATGTTTATAATACTGAGCTGTAGCGGAATGTCAACAACAGTTTTATTGTTGACATTCCGCTACAGCTCAGTATTATAAACATTAGTCGAGATTCATGTAAATACTTCGAATCATAATTTTGAAGATACATATAATATATAATATTCAAACAAATCGAGCACGTTAAAATTAAATATTGCGTTATATATATATATATATCCTCATCGCATTAAATCTTTTTTTTGTGAATTGTAAGATGGCAAACGCGAGGTTGTTCTTTTTCTCTCTGTACGTTTCTAAATATTTCTAGAGATAACAATAAAAATATCGTTCACGCTTCGCGCGATGATGCCGGAAGGACACTCGCGACGAGGATGCAACGAGGCTGAATGCAACCGGTAGCTGTACCAGCGGTGTGTGCGTGTTATATTTACCGGCGAGCGTTATCGCGAGAAACTAGGGGCGGCGTTATCACTCTGATATCCAACATATATACATCCCCCACGACAGGCCCCTGGCCTCCAGTAACTCGCGGACCACCGGTCTAGTTAAGCGCTTTAGTGTACACACCGTGTACATGCGATTCTCCTTGACATTGCATCCTGAAGCAGGCGATCGCGAAGGATCGATCCGTCGATATAATCGCGAGAGCTTCAATCTCGTCCGCCATGTCCCCTCCCCGCGAAAGCGCGAAAATGGAAGTGGTACTCACAGTATTCCCGATGTCGATATTTGGCTGCCGGTTTCCCGTCCTCGTCGCTCCTCCTCCTCTTCATCCCGTGATTACTCGTCTTCTTCGGATGTACTTCTGGTATATTTATCTCTTAATCCCGCGTCGTTTTTCTCTTTTGTCTCGCAGCCGCTCGCCGATCTGGAATTCGCACTATCCGTGAGAAGAGATTCGGCCACTTTACTCGACGAGGGTGACGCGCGCGACTACGGCAGCCTCACCTCTGAAGTAATCGCCCCGTGTTGTCCTATCGTTTCCACGAACCGGAAGGTTAAGGGAACGATCGAACGGTATGTGTACACCGATCGGCGACTAGACGAAAATTAAAGTCCGCGACTTTTGCTGGCTATACCGAGAGCCCGCGCCACTGCTCTATGATCGGGAGCGAGGCTCGTGTATATTATGTACATAGAGCAAACGGAGGAAGAGAGAGAGAAAGGACGTTAAAGCGCGAAAGAGGGAAAGA